AGGGAGCTGGGTGATTTTTCCAAGGTGAGTACCTCATGGGAGATGACTGTTCACTGCCATTTAGTTTAAGTGCAGGAGTGTCAGTTAACTCGACACTGGCACCGGGAATACTTAATGCCAGATGGAGGGAGCTGTCCTTGAAGTCTTAACAAGCAGCCACAGAGAAACAAGCCTTTATTCAGTGTGAACGAGCACAGAAAAAAAAATTGGTAACTTTGCAAAGTTACCACAAAGTGTACTTTAAAACCCTCACAGGAAAGAGAGGGATAAAGGAAACCAGAGGGGGTAGAGAGGATCAGAAATGTATGGATAAAAAATACAATTTAGATGTTGCTGACTTTAATTTATTTTTATTGCATTCAGTATAACCAAACGGCAGTTGTCATGCTCGAGCATCTAGCTGCTTTAGAGGTGTCAAATTATTGTATCTCCGCTGGATACATTGGTATTGGAATCCAGGGAGCGAGAAAAGAGCCAAAGCCTCCAGACTTTGGCACTGGCATCCGTCACCGCTGGCACGGATGGACCTCTCTGGGAGGCTTCAGAGCACCGATAGGCCCCTAGTGTTTTTTCACGCCGAAATATGAGGCGTAGCTACAAGAGTGTTAGCATCAAGACTCCCTCTTGGAAAGTTAGTTAACACAATGACAAGTGCTCTTTCCACATGGTTCACTGACAAAACAAAGGCAGGCCAAAAGCAGTGGAGTTGAGCATGAAGAAAGTAGTATATAATCAGAGTTTTCTGAGAAGACCTATTCCCTGAAATATCTGAACTACCCAGATGAAGAACATCTCCAAAACAGCTTTTGAAACATTCATCAACGGTAGCCCTGTACGCAGATACCACATAACACTGTATATCAAGGGTGACATTACATGGTATGTCCAACATATCTTTTCAGTTCATCTTTGCTCCACACACTTTGTTTCCCAAAGAAGTAGGCTATGTTATTGTCAGCTTTGATTAAATCCACTCTTTTTTCTTTTTGGTGCTCTATTGTTTTTGGCAGAGCTCTACTTCAATTTTCAATTAAATCCACTATACACTGTTGGCGTGCCTCTTGTTCTGGCTCTTTGCTGGTATGAGAACCTCTGTTGATTCTCTACTTCTCATTCATTAGGTTCGTTTACTGCTGACCCTCCCAAACTGCGACTCGCTTGAGTGAAAGGCCCAGTGAGCTCAGGACTCAGGCATCCGGCAGAGACAGGAAACAGTCGCGGTGCACTGCAGTGTCACCAACACATCACAGGACGCTTTGAGGGAGTACTGGCTCTTGCCACACTGTTACGGCACTAAGCAGAGCAAGGTCTGTTGAGTTTGCTGGCCAAGTTAAGCACGGAAATATTTCTTTCCTGTTAACTCAAGAGTCTGGCAGTCACCTGTGTAAGGTTGTCCTGGCAATTCACAATGAGCCACCCGCTGTCCAGTGAGGCGGTGTGCGGGCTAAGTGCTGATGGACCCTGACCAAATCCAAGGACTTCTGAAAGTTTACAAATTCATTGACACGACTTTATTGTGTCAGTGGTGGAGGATTGAGTGACAAATTCCTGAAGGTCTTATGATGAGGAAGCTATGTTTTTGCATGTGGGAGCTTTGAATCCATGCTTTATTTTGGCAATGTGTGTGATTGTGTTTGGCTCAAATTGTGGACAGGTTGCTCTAAATATACATACATACATACATACGAAAAAGTATATGTGTGTATACATATATATATATATATATATATATATATATATATATATATATATATATATATATATATATATATATATATATATATATATATATACTTTTTTTTGTCATTCTCCCTATTACTGTAACAAAATTTAGAGCACTTTTGTCCTCTGTGTCAGTTCTTGTTTAAAACTAGTGTAGCACTATTTGGATCTATAATAGTCCCATTTTAGACCTGGTTTAGATCTGATCTCAAATATTTTCTTTAGTGGTAGGGTAGAATGTTACATTTGGTTTTAATTGTGCTGCTCCAACCTGTTGACCTCAGTTATATAATTTTGAATCCTTCACACAAGTAATAAAAGTGCTTAACATTAGAATATGCTAAATTCCCCATCCGCCACTATTCACTGGAAATGCCTTTTACTATAAAGTGCATGAGTGCAGCAGTCGCCAATAGCCTCTCCAAAGAGTACATTAAGACTAAGTGGTTCCAACAGATAAAATTTATGTTGATCCCGTTATGTCATTGCCTTGCATGCTTCAGAGACGAATGGCCAGCATAACGTTTTCCTACAATGAATCCAATATGGCATCCGCATGTGTGCCTCAGTGGAGCCTCAATAGAAATACTTCATTTTACTGCCTAGACGTTAACACACAGTAATCTTTGCCCCAAGTTCAACAAGGGCACAGTTAAGTGTGGCTTTGTATTCAACAGCCAAATAAAACGGGAAAAGCCCAAATCATAGTAGTAATACAAATAACATGGAGGAGGACCATGATACAAACAGTGTACTGGCCAAATGGGCATCAACAACGGGCCAAGGAGGGAGTCTCATTTCTCCTCTTGACAGAAATGTCTACAACCAGCTCTGTGTCCTTTTAGTGCAGTTTGGATTGTCAACAGATGAAAATATACTGTGTGAGTACTACTAAATGGTTGTGCATGAGCCAGGACACACAAAATGAGTTAAAACACCACTTCTTACTGCCCGCATCCTTCCCTCCACTTTGGACTGAAAAGCGTTCTGGCCATTGGTTTAATTAATTTACTAATGGACACGAATACCCTTGAGCACTGGGAGATTTTTGTGTTTAGTTCTGCAAAACATGTAATTTTTCTCTATCATAAATTCAACATTTTGGCTTAGAAAGTCATATTTAAAATCAGCTTTTATGAGCTCAACATGTTGCCTCATCCTTACCTTACTCAAATTTGTATTTTGAGTGATTCATGCATTTTTAAGTTATCCTGTATTGTCCTGCACAACTGTTTTCACCTATGCACTATCTCTGCCTACTTCTTTGTAATTCAGACTCAGGGTCATACATGTAGGGTTGAAAATAAAAAATTTTCAACAATAAAAATGTTTAACTGAATTTAACTTGCCACAGTGAAATAAGTGGCCTGTCAGTTCTGCTGTTTTGAACAGCAAGTCAATAGACCCAATTATGAAGCTGTTTTTGATCAATATTGCAGTTTACAATGAACAAAGTGTAAAATAAAGATCCATGTATGTTATAGTTAAGTTAAAGTACACTACAAATAGCATAATATGTCCTCTTTAATAAAAGATCTGACATGGTTGTGATTACAATGCAGATTATTTATTACTTTGATTAATTTTGCAAGTGCTTATTTTGTTGTGTCAGTGCAATTGGATCAGACGTTCTTTGGGTGGTGAAGGTTGACTTTTCCTAACTTACTCCTGTGGTTGGCTCAAGTGGGATTCAGAAAAGGCCTTAAATCCAAGACAAACTCTAAACCAAGTAGAGCATGTTTTAAATTTACACTGTCCAATCCACTTTTAGAACATTACTCTATAGGTTTTTCTTCACAATCATTTTTCTCTAAACACTCCCAACTTATAGGTTTGTTAATTGATTTATTATTCAGAGTCATTCCTTCTTGTCATTTCTCCTTAATATGACAGCAGTAAAGACATTTTCACACAGGCGTTATGTTCCCGTAAATAGTTTTTAGCCATGTTTCTGCCAGATGTTTCATTTGTTCGAAGGATCTATTTTACAATCATCTGTCAAAACCTGTTGTCAGTTCAACCACCTGGGCCACATAAGGTGTAGCATGTCCTTGTTAAATGACTCATTCTGAAAATAGGAATGTTGACGATTAAATGGTGGACTTTGATCATTTTTCAGAGGCCATGACTGTTATTCTTAAAGAGGCTCTCTCTATGTTTCTTGGCCCATGTCTTATTTTCTGTATAAATTACATACAAAGAAAGCTTAAGAGGTGTTTCTCAAGGGCTAAACTTTGTATGCTTACACTCTATTGGCAAATCCACTATGGAAAAGTTGAACTAAGCTTCAAGTGCAGTGTTTAGTGTGGTTTGGGGCTTAGGTGGGGATCAATTGCCTTCATTTTGCAGCGGCACCCCAGAAACCCCCAGAGGCTGGTCTGAAGGACAGGTGGGCTGGCCCGGCACGGTCCCACACACCACTGTCCCGCATAAGTGTACCGACCAATGACAGCAGTCCCGAGCCAAAACAGACAGGTGTATAGAGTATGCAATTGAATGAAGGCCAGTGTTCCTACTTCCTGCATAAGCTAAACAAGTGTTGCAACAAGACCTATAAATAAATAAATAAATTATTCAATAGTAGACATACTTTTAAGCATGCTGCTTTACAAACTTAAATTAAAATAGTGAATTAATTTTTACACTCTAGTGGGCAATGAGGCAGCAGAATACATAAACATATCTACGTACCAAAATACTTTTGTTAGAGCTGTAGGCCTAATTGGTTATTCAAATTATGCAACCAAATGCATATCGGCATTTGGTAATTAGGCATACTATTAAAGCCATACACTGAAAGCAGGTGAAAGCGTAGATGTATGGGTGAAAGTAATCAGAGCTTTTGTTGCTATAGGTGCTGCTGCCATCTTCTGTCACCATTTTAAAATCACAAGACTTGGTTCGTGTAGTTATGTAATACAGTCCAACGAAAATATATATATATTTTTTTGGTGGCAATGGTACACACGAATGATGTTAAATTTTGCAAAAAGTACGGAAGGATATCGGAGTTTTTTTTTTTCTTTGTATCTTACTAAGAATTGTATCTTATGTGTGCTATTTAGCTCACACCTAAATAAACATTACTGCAAATGGTAATGCTTAGAAATGGAAAAAGGTTTATTTGTTGAAATGTTGTTTTCAGTTTCGGTGTTCAGTTGTTTTGAATGAGCCTGCTGTTTCTTTGTGGCGGTGGCTACTGAGAGGCCATTCATAGCAGCCAATCAGAATCCTCGATGCTGCGCTCTTCTGTCCAATAGCGTGGCGTGTTGTTTTTTGGCCTTCTTCGACCGCGGACAGACGTCGGCAAGTGGACCGGTTGGATGCTAAGCTAATTCAGTCAAATTACAATTAAGTATTTCCGATTTTTTTCATCGCTTCGCTGTTTTCGGACGCATGCACAAGATCCAGAAAATTAAGAACCCCCTTGCTCTTGTAGAATTGTTCGGCTAACAATCTAAATTGACTTTGCTAAATCGCTTTTTGTGTTGCTAGCTAAAACGGCGGTGGTGGGCGCCAGCCTTGTTTGACAACAGCGCTATTCGGTCACGTTAGTCGTGTTGTTGTTTGTAGCTGCAGGGTGAGCCATTCAATTCACGTTAGCTTTGGGCGGCAAAAAGAAAATAGCTCAGTGCAAATAGAGGAAGTTCAGCATGGCAGAGTTTCTGGAAGATCCGTCGACTTTAACTAAAGAAAAGCTCAAAACCGAGCTTACGGCGAACAATGTGCCACTTCCGAGCGGCGAGCACAAGAAAGAAGTGTATGTTCAGCTGTATCTGAAGAACTTAACCATCCTCAACAATAAGAAAAGTCCTCCTACAGACACTTTCTCCAGCGACGAAGAGTTACCTGCACCCGTGGTCACTAATAAAAGTCGCTCAGGAAGAGTAAGTGTATTTTATTCACTTAAGTTAGTTTTACTTGTGATGCATATCTCGTGACTACGCAAAAATCTCTATTGCTTTAAATCACTTAACGACTTAATCAGCTTTACTTCTCAACTATGTGACATTGTTGTTCTTCAGAAAGCCACAAAGAAGACTGACAAGCCTCGTACAGAAGAAGTGGAAGTGACAGAACTCACAGACGAAGATTTAAAACAACAGCTGGCCAAGCACGGGGTGGAATCCGGACCCATTGTGGGTAAGTTTCTGCAGGGATTAAGACAGACTTTCACTCCTAGAAGTCAATGGTCACGTTATGTTTCGATGTGAACACATGTTATGTACTGAAAAAAATGCAACAAAAATGATTACAAACTTTGGTCAATTATACATGACAGCATATCTAGTGAATGTGTAGATAATACATTATATGATAAATTGTAAATTGTTATGTTGATATATTATTTATTCTCTGTTTACTAGACTAATGTCATTGTTTATATTTAAAGTCAGTAAACTTGATCCTTTATCTACTTTACTGTAGCTTCCACCCGTAAAGTGTATGAGAAGAAGTTGCAGAAGATTTTGGACCAGCCGCCACCTGAGCCCGAGGCCACTGCAGAGGTCACAACCCTCCCAAAGGTTGATAGTAACCAGAATGGCAACACCAACTCTGACCAGTACAGTGACAAGGAGGACGGTGAGCTTATGCTATGTACTGCCACACCAGCACTACACCCAGGAGTTAGAGCCTTTGTGGACACATGGCAGTTAGTCTTAATGTAATAATGGGGTTTCAAGATAATTGGAGAATAACCAAGTCCAGACATACCACACTAAATGCAATGTGTGTTGATGAAAAGTATTAGCACGTATAGCATTTCACAAAAATATATTGTATGTCAGATCCAAACACAAGAATTTCAGTTATTGCAAAGCAAAAAACAAACACTGAATAATATAATGTATTTTGACCAAAAATGGCATGCTGCATGTTGTTTGTAATTAATGAATTAAATAATTGCTTTTTGTTTATACTCAGAGGTGCTTGCTGCCCCTGAGCCAGAACCGGTTCCTGTTGTGGAGAAACCTGTGCGCAGCAGAGGAAAGACCCCCACCACTGTCCGCACCAGCAGCAGACGACAAGCTAAAGTAAGTCCCATAAGTCACAATAAACGGTAAAAAAAAAAAAACGTCAATTCTCAACTCATACTTTTTGTGTCCTGGCAGATAGTGGAGGAAATTACAGTTACAGAGGAAACACCGAAGAAAAAGTCTGCAGAGAGTGCGGTTGAAGATATTCTTGCAAATGAAATAAGTTCACCAACTGGAATGAGGTAAACATTGTAGTTTATACCTTATTCATTATTGTGTGTTTGTCAAACAACAGCCCATTTGAGATTTTTACCATTTAGATCATCGTTTAGAGATGATTTTTATGTTTCACTTTATGCGGTGTAGAACAGTAGTTTTTTAAATGTGTCCAATGAAAAGTTGATAGGTGTTTTTTGTATTTTTATAGTGCAACCTGCCGGCGTCCGATTCGTGGTGCAGCAGGCCGGCCTCTGAAGCCCAGTGAGTATTGGCTGGACGAGTCCCGTGTTCAGACCACAATCCTCTCCGAGAGCCGTACAGAGTGTCTGAAAGCGGGCAGCTCTTCGGCCGCACCACCTGCTTCACGAGGCTTCCTGTCTACACTCCTCAAGCTCCTCTTGCTCATTGCCATCGTCATTGGTCTCTACTATGCTTACCAGAAGGTGGATGCCAGTCACATTGAGGCCCTCAAAGGTCTTGTGGACAGCGTCCTGGTCCCTCTCCAAGGGGCGATGGAAAGCACTGCCACTTACCTGGGCATTGGTGGAGGAGAGGCCCCAGCCGCAGTGGAGCAGCCTGCAGAGTGAAAACCAGCAGCGCCCTCATGTCCATTGTTAGCAACAGCGCATCACAACCCAAACAACAAACTCGGCATACTTCTTTCTTAATTTCACCATCATGGTTGGACAAAAGACACAGATTTAAAAACTCTTATCTCCTCTCCTCAATTCAGTCTCTCCTCCTGACAATTGGAGGGATTCAGCAGTAGCTTCTGGGTGACCCCATCCGAAGTGACTCATTTTATGGCGTTTTTTAACCTGTGAAATTGTTTGTCTTTGTGAGCATTAACCGTGTATGTAGAAATGTGAGCTGATTTGGGAAGGCCACTTTATCCATGCATGATTGTATTTTTGAAAGTCATACTGTAGTTTTTCATACTTGCGTGTTTTTGGATGGTGAAGTGCCTGGATAAATGCAAGCACTTAAGATGCCCTCCCATTTCAAGCACATACTTTGCTTCTACTAACTCCGCCGTAAATGTTTTTGTGCAAATTTAACCATTTGCTCTGTTGGTAGTAACCGATTTCTATGGTGCTCAGGTTAAATCTCTTGATGTGCTCTGTGCTGGAAGGAGAGGTGGAGCCAGGTCACATTGCCACATGAAGAAAGTTATACATTCATTTTCACTCACTGCTTGAATCATGGGCTTTTTTTTTATAATTTGTAATCTGGTCACTCTTATTGTATTTAATCACTTTTTCAAATGATGATTTAAGATAGATAATATACTGTACTTTTATTGTATCAATTTTAAAAGCAGGACTGAGCAAGTTTTTAACAAAATGCTTTCCAGGTGATTTGCTGAGGTGAATTTGACAATTTCTTATTCGGAAGCTTCAGTGTCCGATCACAGATTTCTTTCAGTTCTGCCATAGTAACCATTTGAGTTTACATGCTTTGGGTTTTTGTGCTTGGTTGTGCTTTTTCATCATTATATTTGTGTTTTTATAATTATGTTTCTGATCCTTCGGTCCTCCATGTCTTAGTGCAGGACTGGCCAATGCAGTGCACCCACGTAGCCCATTAAACTGACTGCATTTGTCCATATATGGCAGATCTGCCAAGTTAAATGTTTTTAGTAAACAGAGAAAATAATCACTGAATGTGAAAGGTGGGGGTGGGACTAATTCATTTTGATATTTTTTGAAAGTAAATGTAAAGGTTTTTATAGCACATCTTAGGAAAACATGTGAAGGCAATATGCAATACACGCAGAAGCCAGATTTAACAAAATTTCACAACAGGCAGCTCTCAGCAAAATGGACAGACAACATGGGTTATGTGGGTAAGGATTTGTGGTCTGTTTATTTATGATAATGTAGGCTGTGTATCATGAAATAAACTCAATTGTCCCCACATGGACCTGTATTATTTTTGTCTTGCATCATGTATATGAAATTCTGAATTAAATGTCATTTTCTTAAAATTAGTTTTTTGTGATTTCTGCTGCTTCCTCAGGTATTTTCTAACTTAAATTGTCACTGGTTTTGAAAGGAATGGACCAATATCATTGTCTAGTCTTTTCCCCTGCAGCAGATTTTTTACTCTTTCCGCTTTATTAGAGATGCTCGACAAAAATGTGATTTTTTTTTTTCTTTTATAGTGGTTTCAGAAAGATGGAAAGAAAACAGTCGGAACAGTTTGAAATTATTGATAAAATGCAATTGATATTATCCTTTGTGTCAAAATTTGTATGTAGAATCAAATGCTTCTCTTGACATAATTCACCCCAAGCATTTCACGGACATGAGACCTAAACATGGATACAGTTGTGCAGTAGTAGTTTTATTTTTTCTCTCTTTTTAAAATCTTCTCTGCCACATATTTTTTAGGTTAGAATTGTACTAAGTAGTGTTACAAGGAGGCGTTGTAGAGGATGGAGAGGCTTATTCAATTAAATCCACCAGACTCTGTTCTAGGGACAAGCAGCAGGGACAAGACCAGACCCAGACCAGCACCAAGCTCAAATCTGCACTTGGATTGGACCACAAAACCACACTTTTACTAGACTCTCACACAAAACAGGTGAGTGAGCTTTCATTCAGTACTCTGTCATTTGGGTGGAAGATTCTCTATTATTATATACCTGTGCTCAAACATCACTATATAAACAGTGGTGTTTATTTGTACTACTACTTCTTGCCTTTAACCACTACCTACCAACAACTGCTCAAAAATGTATGGTATGTCTCCAAAGATGACAATCGTGTTTTGTTGCTTGATCACCCAGGCATTCTGTATAATTTGTACATAGTTTAAAGTCTTGAAATTCCTATGGAGCATGCAGGATATGACCTGTTATTAGCTGCATGGGACCTTTGTCTGAGCTATGCTGTCAAAGGTGACTCCCAGGTTTTGACAGTTTTTGTTATTTTTTTTACAATTATTATTTCACCTACACATAAAATATAGATAGTACTTCACAGAAAAAATAATGAAACCACATGTATAAATAAGTAAAAAACTATTACCCAAAACATATTTAATTGAAGATTATGACCATGTCGATAACTGAATGAATCTGGGTATATTCTTTCCAGTAATACCTTCAAGTTGAAGTGTAATGAAGCAGATGGAGTCAGTGTTAAAAGATTACTGTTAACTTGTTTAACTGTAGTAACTGTAGTCAGGAGGCCAGTCATTATTAGCCAGGTTAGGTATCCGATTATACCCCTCTATCCTCCATTTGGGGTAGGGGAGGGGTGCATACACAGAGAGGAGGGGCACTGCCTGCTCCCCAATCTGGGCCACAGTCACATGAGCAGTGAGCTAGCATCTGACTGGATACTGTCTCCTGCCGGATCCACTGACAGTGTTTAGGAGGGCATGCTGTTGATGTCTGCTATTGCATAGGATCTCTACATAGAGTGCCATGCTGATTATATGGTGGTACATATATTTTACTGCCAAGAGCGTCGTCAAGCAGAGCAAGTATCCATGATGTTTTTATATCAGTGTTTTGTTTCAAGGTGATCTCTGCAGGAGGACATGTCACCTTCCTTACTCATTGTTGCTTAAAAACTCTCAAATTTGACTTATTTTAGTCTAGTATTCCATTTTGGGTTTTATGAGTGAATTGATCTGAGAATTGTGGCATCAGTATATACCTTTATGTCTGTTGTCCCTGTGTCTATTTGATAGCCAGGTTCTCCCATCTTGAAGGTGCACTAATGTAACCTTTCTGGTAGTCTGCCACCTACATTTTATATTGAAATGTTGAAATACTTTGCCTGGAATGTCCCGCAGTATGACATTAAAATAACCTGCCTTGTATTTATCCAATTTCAGGTGCCTGTGTTGTTAAAAATATCTTATAAAACTTTGCATTCTTACTGTGAGCAGGGTCAGACTGTCCCAGCTAGTACAATCTACCACCAAGCATGCAATGATTGACATAATCATCTAACATAATATGCAAGATGCTCTTCGTTACCCCATTTATTTAGGCTTAGAGTTGACACAATAGTATTCTTACTTGTAACTAGAAATGTATTTAATGTGTGTGCGTGTGTGTCTGTGGTTTTTAATAATGTCACAGTGATTTTCTTTATCTCTGTTCAGTGAAAATGTCTGCAACACTCCAGAAGCTCATCACCCCATTGTTTCAGGGCGTTCCAGAGCCCCCAAGGAACAAGGTGACAGTGGTGGGTGTGGGGCAGGTGGGCATGGCTTGTGCTGTCAGCATCCTGCTCCAGGTAAGTGGTCCTTTTTAGGTTAATAGTATATTTCCTTGTGCAGAACTATTTTAGTGGGTATGCTCCTGTTATAGACTGGGTTCTCAAAAACTTGAAAAAGCCATAAAATTAAATTCAAGCTTAAAACTCATTTCACCCTTTTCCAAACTAGATTCAGCTCCTGCATATTTTTCACAATGATCAAGATGAGCTTTTTATATGTAGCTAAAATAACAACAAAATAAGTTTTTGACAAAACCAAAAGTGGAAGAAATTTGAAGGTGGTATTTGGTGTGAAAAGCATTGTGAACCACTGTTACAAGTTTCCATCCATGCCTGCTGCTGCTCCTCTTCATGATGATAAGGCCAAAGTGAATCTTGCACCAGATTACTGCCCTGCAGTGTCTGAGCTGCTCTTAACCCTCCGCTGCCCTTGAGTTTTTGGATAGCTGCAACAAATGTAAATGCACATCTAAATGTAATTCCCACAGATCCTTACACAAGGTCCTGCTGTGTACTGACATGACTTTCCCACCTGAATTGTGAGTTTCTGTTAGTATAAAACTAATAGTGATAAGGTAAAAAAAAAAAGTAAATGTCTAAATTAGATATAGTGTGATAAAGTCTTAATTTCTAAATCTGCTCCTCAATATAAGAAATGTATTACAGTATGTGTTTGTACTTTGGGGACAACAATTCAGGACTATTTTTTAACTACCCAGACAAGCTCCTTCTACTACTGCAGCTCATCCACTAATTGGAGGATTAGCTTAATGTTTTTAACAGTGCTCCGCCTGGAGGTGCACTTTGACACTGCTGTGATGTGACATCGGCACTCACCTTGTGTGTGAGAAGTTCATCCTAATCAAGAGTATATTTAAAATCTCATTCCATATGCGTCAAACAGACTCACCTAACATGCAAATGTAAGCAGGTGTGTGTATAGTCTGCCGCACTGTTCACTTGTTTGTATATTTTTTTTAAGATTTCATATTAAAATTTATAAAAAAATGTATTCTTTTGAACTTTAAGACATATCATAATGTTGTTCCTCACAAACATACCTGGAGTTGTGTTTTGTTTTATTCATACATATTTGAGTAATTCTTTATTATTAGTCTGTCTACAAATCTCCAATCTCCAAAGCTCAAAATGCTCTGTTCCACCTTGTGATGTCATGAAGCAGTAGTTTTCAAGTTAATAGCTAACTTTTACCTTTAATTTAGTAGAGATAGGCAATTTCAGGGTTGAAATTATCCAAATTATTCTAGTGAAGATGTAAAGAGTTTAAAATCCCAATGGAGCACTTCCTGTTTGACATCACAAAATTGTACAGAGTGTTATCCGTCTGAGACATGAAATCAGTCTAAATATGTATATGTATATGTACATGTGTGAACGAAACAAAACACAACTCCAGGTATGTTTTTGATGAGTAAACAACATAAAAACAGTGTAATTTGGGCCCTTTAATCGTATAATAGTTTTGCTTAAGATTATTTTCCTGTCTTTATCTTGGACTGCGACAGCATCCACGCGTTTTGCTATTTGCACTTAATTTAAAAAGTAAATGTTTTAGTAAAACATCCTACAGTGTGTTATTGCTTTTCACCCACATGTCATGTTGTCTTTTGTTGTCTGGTGCAGGAGCTGGCGGATGAGCTGGCCTTGGTTGATGTGGTGGAGGACAAATTGAAGGGGGAGATGATGGACCTGCAGCATGGCAGTCTATTCCTCAAAACCCCCACCATAGTTGCAGACAAAGGCAAGTGTGCCACCTGGGGTTCTAACAAGGCGTTACGCTAACTTTCAATAAGAGGGACAGCGTTTTGTTTCAAGAATTTAAAACGACAAACAACTAATTCAAGTCCCTTAAAGATGCATTGTGTAACTTCTCTGGTGGAGGGTCTGTCACCTGCTTGTTTCCATGGATATGTCATTGCTCTGCCTGGAATCGTTCACAGTATGACATGAAACAGCCCTACCTTACATTTATTCACATTCATCAAACATACATCTTTTACAGGTGGTTTTAT